AATTTGTTTAATCATTTTTGAATTTGTTAACAAAAAAGCTGTCGTTTAAAAAAGAAAGTTCTGAGGGACCCATAAATCTCCACGTTTCAGACGATTCTCAATCGTTTGAGTACACATTTGCGAGACAATTTTTCCCCAATTTGTTAAAACTTTTTTCAATTTGTTAGCAAAAAAGATATCGTTTAAAAAAAAAGTTCCGAGGGACCCATAAATCACCACGTTTCAGACGATTTTCAATCGTTTGAGTATACATTTGCGAGACAATTTTTCCCCAATTTGTTAAAACTTTTTGCAATTTGTTAACAAAAAAGATATCGATTAAAAGAAAAAGTTCTGAGGGACCCATAAATCTCCACGTTTCACACGATTCTCAATCGTTTGAATATATATTTGCGAGACAATTTTTCCCCAATTGGTTGAACAATTTTTCGAATTTACACAAGTGAATTCATTTTTCTCATTCCGTCCATCGATTGTTTCTCCATCATACCCCCACTCCGCTCTATATGGGATGTTTTCTTTCCTCACGATTTCCTGGAATTGTCGACACTCTCGCGTTTGCTGATCTTTCCGAATTATTGACACTCTCGGGCTCGAGCTCTGCCTTATCTGTACCCACGCCCTCCGAAAATTACCGACACTCTTGCCCTTGCGACTTGTTTGATTCACAGGTACACCCGCAAAATTAGTTCGACTCGGGCGGCCAGACAATTTCGCGGTTGAAGCTTCGCCATTGGCTTTAGCAATCTCCCCTATAATCTCTGGATCACAATGTTACGGGAGAAATTATTCAGTAAAATTTTTGGTAGCCGCAGCCCTCTTCTGGTACTTTTATGAAGTTCAGAATAGGTCGACGGGGATATCCAAAGAGGATTGACTAACGTAGAGGGTCAGTTAGGGGGGTTTGAGTAACCGCAGCTGCATCGTAGTACCTCAACCCAGGAGAGGGAGGGCGCCACGCGCAATGCTCGGATGTCTGCCCGTCAGCCGACTGAACAATTCTCTATCCATCGACACCCGTTTCATCCATTGATCTTTGTAATGAAAAAATGAAAACAGCGACGAAGCGCAACGCGATGGAGGAAACCGATTAGTTTTCGAGAGCCGAGTGGTCTCCAAATAATCCGTCGTTAATTAAAAATACGTATCCTCTCTTCCGATTAATATTAAGGAATGAAAACCATGGGTTCGATTCGGAATTAAATTTACTTATGTCCACCTATTTCATACCACAATTTCTTAAACAGAATAATAAAAGCATCAACGAAATTTTTCGGAGCGCTGAGAAAAGGGTTTGTATTGCTTACTCTTTCTTGAGCATTCACATGTTCTCGACAACCACATGATCTCGAGAAATCGTCCATTCCGAGAATCAACGGACAGAGTATTGGGAGCAAAGGAGAATGAGAGCGCAAAAAGACAAATCCTCCACCGCTCCCGAACTAAAGTTGCACCTCATTCGATACTACATAATCGCGAAAGATTTTTTTTAATACATCAATATCAAGGTCAGTTTGTTTTTTTATTAAAACAAAATTCTACCTTTTCTTCTCTTGGAAGAAATGGACGAATTATATCTTTTAAAAATATACTCAACTTGTTTGTCCGCGAATTGAAGTATGGAGAAGGCAATGCTCGAAATTAAAACAAAGCTCGTATCGTTTTTAAAATGCTCAGTTGAATTCTGTTCTTTAGTAGAGCAACATCACTCCATCCGACGAGCTTCATAATTCTTCACTTGGAGATTTTTGTTGGCGTTTTTTTATTTATAGTTATTGTATCTCGATAGTCTCTGCGAAAGGTTTATCCGCTGTAAAACGGGCCAATTTAAAACACAATCTTCATTCTTTTGGACGGTATGTAGTCCCACTTAATTGATTGCATTGCGCACGGATAGCTAAACTTAGTATAGAATATAGGAGTAACATGGAAAACCATCGGAAAAACCATGTCAGTAGAGGCGGTTCTCTATTACCACCCTCCCGCTCATCGGTGCCTGGTGAAAAGTTCATTCCTGAATTGAAAGTTTAGCTCGCCCTAAAAGGTAAACTATGCAAACGTCGCTTACCGTTTTTCTCAGACAGATACTTATTGTTTCATCTATTATTTAATGCATTTGACGGGACAAATCGTTTTTTAAGAATGCTGTTCTTTTCTACAGGCGAACTTTTATTTTTTTACTGCTAAATTCCCAATTTATTGATTATATATTTCTTACTATTCAAAGTTTTAACTCAACGTCACGCCTCTCTAGTGCGCTTCTCTAGTGTACATATTTCTACCAGTCTGTAACTTGAGGTGTCTTTGAGTTACTTCGAGATTATGAAACGATTTCGGGCTAACTGTACCCAGACCAAAAAGTTGAGTCTATTTTTGCCCATTCTGCTGACCAGTCGATAGTGTAGGAAGAACAGAACTGTTATCGATAGGGGGTATGACTAATTTAGACAGTAATTTGATTATTTACAAGCTTCCCAATTGTATGGAATTTTGCAAATCACTGCGTGGTAACAGAATTTGTTTTTTTTTATAATTGATCCAATTTTCAACTCTTTTTTTAATTCTGTGACTATTCCATAAATCTATGCCTACATCACCTCTTTGTCCCCCTCCACGATGCAGAGAAATTTCCCCTGAAATCACGTGACCCCAAATCAGCAGACGCCCGATCCTTTGCTTATGCGCTGCACTCGTTCATTCGCCTTGTATGAAACACCGAAACAAGACGTTTAGATTCATTCAACTGCTCTTACTACGGTGAAGATGGATTTCTAGTCGGGACCCGGCTTGCACACGCGAGTGTGCCAATACAAAAACTAAAAAATGGAGTAAGTCAATAACTTTATATTGTTTTTTATACTAAATCAACTTTGTATAGCGTTTGGGCTTGACAGAATTCGGTGAGCCGATACAGCATTCACTCTGACCACCGTCCGCCATTTTGTAATTCATTGTCTTCCAAGCGTTAGAGTGACGAATCATAAATTATTCAGGAAAAAAATAAAATTCTCTTATTTCCGTTGGAAAAAATAAAAATTCGAGTGGTCTTTATTTGAGTGATCTTTATTTTTGTGTTAAAACTGGAAGGGGGATGATAACTTGCCTCGTGACGTCATAAAACATTGCATCATAAAGGTTAATAGGAGATAAAATAGAAAGTAGAAGCAATCTATTAAAATTATTCTTTATTTTTTTAAATATTATTTCATTGCATCATTACATGTATTTTAGAAAATTGAGATAATTTCCGAATACTGTTATAGAAGATCTATTCGCCCCGTTTGGTTTATTTGTTATACAATAATGTCATTATGCGCTAAACGTAATAATCAAAGAATGAGATAATTTATAAAATTTGATATCCAAATAGCAAAACTGATGACTGTTTACTGCGTACTTGAACAGTTGCATTTAAATTTTTCAAATCAAATATGTGTATGTATTTATGAATGATAATAACAATAAAGAAAGTTGGAGAATTAAGAATAACAAACCGTGCGTGTGCTACTCATATCTTTACTGTCAACTACCGAATAATTTTTTCTGGCATGATATAATTGAGTTATGATTTACTTAATTATGATTTTCAGGGCCACAATGGCGCTCATTACGAGCTACGTCTTAACGACGCCGCAATCAACTTTAATAACCTTGTCATTGTTAAACCAAGAGAAAAAACACCGTAGCCATGTCCTACGAATCTTGGTTATGGAAAGTAGAGCCGGTGTCTCCAAGTGGGACATCGACTGGCGATACTGAAGATGAACGATTTTACGCTGATGACAAATCATCATTATCATCATCATCAATTATAAATGATTCCATTGACACGGCTCTGTACGATGAAACACCATCACGTGCCCAAGTTGCAACGAAATTGCTCGAAGAATTGGATGAATACATCAAGGAAGGTAAATCATGCTTCACACGGTCATTCTTTTATTAAAATTTAAATACTTTTCAAGTTAAGCACAAAACCATCTGCATAATACTCAGACATCGATCAACGGATAATTTTCCCAATATTTTAGAAAGGGAGTTTCGTTGAAAAAAAAAACGTTTTTTCTCACAAATTACGACACACGAAAGAAGATTGTGTAATTATTAACTGTAACCTGCTCTAAAAATGATTATGACAATCTTGCTTTCCTTCCAATAATCATAATGTCTATATAGCTCATTTACGTCAAGAATAATAATAATAATTTATGCTAGAAGGGCTGAAAAGTGTTTCCGGAACGTATTTTTCTCCAAATCCGCGGCGAAGGCGCAGATTGAGATCAAGTATGTTGCTAAAATGCTGTTCAGAGCGTGTGGCATATGTTACTTTAAGTTACAAGCTTAGGACGGGCTGAGTGACATAAAACAGACATATACAATAAAATTGTTTTTCATTTTTTTGAAAGTTCTAAGAATTTTTTGCGACATTTTCCTATACAGTGCGATATGATCGATTGAAATGAAAAAAAAATAGTAATAATCTAATTCATTGAATTTGTAAAAAAAAAACAGCGAAATTGTTCGATAATTGTCGGGAAAAATATTGAAACATCGATAAATAACGATAATGATAATAATATGGCAAGTGGTCAACCTCCACCAAGTCAACTTGCCTCTCCCGGTTAAAAATCTCGAAGCGAAGGAGGGAAAGTTCAAAGATAAGTAAAAGCTGGGTTTCTATGTAGCACGGGTCAAGAGAATAAACTACATGTCTGCGAACGTGTTAAAACTCGTTCGATCCCCTCCAGATTTCCATGCCACCCCTTCTCCTAATCATTAGCCTCCTCAAGTTAATCAAGAGCCACAGCGCTACCAGTTGAATTGTGTCAGTGCGAACGCGGAGTTGTACAACTTAATTATTCTCACATTCTTCAGTAAACTGACATTGTATCGTTGCTTGAGACTACAAAATTGAGTTAAAAATTGTGATGAATTGAATTCCATTTGACGAATTGAACAACAACGTATCAAAAGATTAATCCATTATTTGATTACTTAAAAATATTCCTACAAATTAATTGCTGGACTCAATTGCGTGGTTTCCAAATATTCTAAAGTACTACTAATTTAAATTATCTCCATCTTGGTAAATTTGAAATAATCAGAAGTGATCACGAGTTGTTGAAAGAAAGATTACAACATCCACTAATCTGCCAGAAAGTGACACTTATAATTTATAGGACAAAGTCTAATATTTCTAAATGCTAACTTGAGTCAGTACAAAAATTCACAATAAATATTGAGATAGAAATCCGTGATACTGGCATCATTAAAGCATCACCGTTTCTGGAAATCATCTAAATGTTGGAATGTACTAATGTTGTATCGTAGTATGCAGTTCGCGTATCGTTACACGTGGAATCGAGAAATTATTGTGAATTCCCAAAAATTGGTGAAAAGACGCTGACTAAAATATTCAAGAGTGGAGACGTACAACGGTTAAGTGGTGAATTATTGAAACGCGCCAAAGTGACCTTGTACAACACAACCGAAGATAACCACCGACAACAGCTAAATTTTCCAGTATAAGAATCATCGATTGATAAATTTGTTGTTTTTCATTTTCTTATTTTGAATCACATTTTTTTCTTCCTTAATTCTACGGTAACAAGAAATCGTTTTATAGTATTTTGTTAGAGTAGTATCTATAAAATCCATCGATCAACGAGTGATAATGGCAATTTGTTATGCTGGTAGGTTTCCATTATATATACCCCCACTACCTATTCATTTTTAGTTGTAGGAAACTTTTACATGCTTAGTGACTCATGAATACACATGGTGGAAGTACATATTGATTTGATAAGAATTTCGTAAAGAAAAACGCCGAGATAATTTTTTCTGATAACGCGAGGATGAGTGAGAGAGGGCGGGAGGGGGGGGGGGGGGGGGGTGAGTTGATGGAGTTCGACGTTTTTTTGGAAATTACACGCATGTCTGAAATTAGTAGATCCAGAACAATTCCACAATTGATAGAATAATTAAAGATTTTTCAACAGGAAAAAATTGATAATTATCATTACCTACTTGTCGTTTATCTTGATATAACAAAAAAATTAACTATTGAATTTGGGGAAATCTCTTTCATAGTTTACGAAGTTGTCTTCACGAAAAAAAAACTTTTAAGATTTTTTCTGAGAAATACTTGGCCTCCGAAAGAAGGCCTAAAATTTATTGACCTCAGCTATAACTAACAAATCAGACTATGGCCTCTACTCCTCTACCCCTTCACTTGTTCAGTTGGTATTATTTATCAGATTAGATTCTGAGTAAGAGAAAAGAGCGTGGTAAAATGTTTCGTGCGAATAAAATGTATTATCTCTTCTTTTTTTTTACGTGAATAGGTTCTCATTTTCATATACAGTGTTATTTCTGTATAAGGGCCATCTTTGTACAGTCCTAAAGGTTTAGCACTGGTTATCAAAATTTTAAGAAACTGGAGCGATTTCGTATAGCTTGAAACACTGTTTGGAACTGTTTAGACATTTTGAAATAATTCAATGAGTTAAAATTGACCAGAAGATTAAATATATGAGATTGTCGATGACGCGATTTTCATTAGGCTCTCGCATTGATGACTTCGTGCAGTAACTTGCAACCAATCTCATTAAAAATAAATGAGTAGATATCGTCGTAGAGGGTTAGTTTATCTACTGAACGTCTGTAACAAGTAATGAGTGAGTAACCTTTCTGATGTATTTGTATTTATTTAGTTAGTTTTATGAAAAAAATAAAGATTAATTACAATTTTTTTGTTATCTGATCCTGGAATAGTGTTGGTCTAGTGCATTAGTTTTGCCTCCGATCGAGCATGACAATGAGCACACCTCCCACTGAACTGGTTTAGCTGTATTAGCAATTTAATTATACCTCAGTGAATCAAGTAAAAAAGTAGAAAACCTGATTTTGTCTAATAGGAAATAATTTACGATAAACTGCTAGAATATTATGAATGCGCTGACTAAAGTACAAAATATTATTCAAAACTAATGATACATACAACGAAGTCAATGCTTATTGTAAGAAGGACAATGTGACTATGATTCTATTCATGTAAGCATGCAGATCATTTATTGAAAACTAGGTCGAGTAGGTGGACAATGGAAGATTGACTTTAGAACATTTTGGAAATCAATTGGTTACCAAAGAATTGTGAGAATTTTTTAATGGCGTTTCGAATTTTTCAAGTCCAAAATTATTTTCAATAAAATAATGATTTTTTTCCCAATGAATAAGTTGAGCATCCCGCGATGTTAACGGAAGCTTACTAAATGCTTCCAAAAGACAGGGTAACGAATTTCTATGAAAAACATCAAAGTCACACGTGTGCATATAGTGACAACCTGATATTAATAAATTTGGACGAAATTAGTAATCCTAGCCTTAATAGTCGCACATAGTATCTTATATGACACCGTTCCTTCGCGGTAGTAAAAACTTTCCAACGAACTGAATAATTAAAAATACTGTTCGATAATTATGATAATAAAACTCATCTTTGATGCATCTGTAGGTTACAGACCTTCAGCCGAAATGTTTCTTACGGCTTAGTGTCGAAATGTGCCACAATATATTTCCCTGACATGACATTTACTTTGTGTCTATTTTTGTTACTTTCAAACTCTTCTATTACTTTCAAAAATAGTGTTATATATTTTCAGAAACCTTCACTTAACACTTCGACTGGTGGCTATTTCTTGGAAAAAAAGTTGTAGTTGTTCTTAGAGAGGCCAGTTCAACACTAGAAAAATGATTTTTTGTTGTCGTGAATTTCTCCTCCAAAATCCGCTTTTTCCTGAACCTCCAGTGAAAAAGTGCATAATTGTTCCGTAATATTTTACTGAATACTGTTTTGATGGGCACATTACGGAACAGGCACGTAATTTTTATGAAATTTTTCTCTCAGTCTAACAATAGGTTCCTAAAATCGATTGTAACATTTGAACATTCTACTTCATATGACGAATTAGGTTATTCGCTTTGTTCTCGAACCGCCAAACCGAAAAAACCTCACGAATAAGGACCAATTTAAAATTAAATAAGATTAGACGTTTTTGAACTCCTGCTCCTCTGGATAACTATCGGGAATAGACAAACTTTTAGATATAATTTGATAACGTATGAAAATATTCTTTAGAACATGATAGGCACGGAGAAGCATCAAAGGAGCTTCTGATTAGGGATCTTTGTAAGAAACCTGTAGCCTCTCTAAGCTTTTCTCTCAATGAGTTCAATTAAAATATTTTACGTTGATTACTAAGTTCGGTCAGAAGGTTTCTCTCTAAATTTGAACCCATTTTTTTTTGCTTAATTTTTCAAAAATTTTCTCAGAGGGTATGAAAATATTGAATGAAATTGAATTGCACTCTTCCTGGTCGTCATTACATAGTTATATGTAAGGCATAGGCGGTCAAACAGATTGACTACATATGATTCCAATTCCCATTTGTGCACAAGATCTGCATTGAATTGATAAATTTTTTTTCAATCGTCTGACGTCAAATAAAAATTTGCTTGGATGCTTGAGATTCGAATAATGTTGATCATTGATTATCATTCTTGATGGCCTTGACAACTTTTCTAATATTTTACTGAATAAGGTATGCCTTTTTTAAAATCAAATGTTCAGGCATGTTTGAATTTAACCAGATTTTTTAGTTTCCCTCCTGAAATTGTTCGACATTCATCAAATAATAACCGGATGGCGAAGAAAATTGATAAAAGATGGTAGGATATCAGTTCTTCAGTAACTACGCCCTGAAGTTTGTTTGTGAAGAAACACATAATGTATGAAGATTTTTTGTGCTCCCAGCGATTTCTTTGGACTGCCTCTTTAGATTTTTATTTCACTAATTATTGACGCGCACTTTCCCAGGTAGGAAAGTACAAATGACCCACCTTGGTCCAAGACTGGCGGCGTCCAGGCCCTCCAGGCTTTTGGGGCTCAATACCCAGCCAGATCCCGCCCCAGCCCCAGTCGAAACCTGGGATGATAACGCCCGGCTTAATTTCATATTTAATTAATTAAATGAATTATGGATGGCATGTGGATGCAGCGGGGTTGACTGTACCCATAAGCTTATATGACGAAGTATGGATTCAGTAGAACAAAAATAAGAATGATGGATCGTGACTCAAGATTGGCAAAACAATGGCAGTCAGGTTGCCAATTGTTACTGAAAATTATACCAAAAAAAAGTGATTAATGCATCTTATGCTCATTTCCCTATTAATTATACCTTAATTCATAAATTCTAACTCAACAAAGCTTGAAGAAACCGATATTATTAATTTAAAAACGACCCACAATCACTTGAACTCGGAATACTTTGCATATACTAAATCTACGATCTAGCCACTAGACTATCGCAGGATTCCTATAGTTAGAAATGAAAATCTGCATATGAATTTCATTGACTTTTTATTTACAATGGTGTTATATTTATTTAATATTTATTATTATTGTTATTGTAACGTGCGGGGTTTTGTCGTCCGCCTTTAATCAGTCGCTTTCCGACCCAATTCCTTTGGTAACTACCCTCGTTACGGGCTCACGGAGGATTCGTCCATTCAGGAATGTTTAGAGAAAGGTTCACCGGGTTTCTTCTAGTAACCGAACACTACTTCTCATTAGATAAATATAATCAACACTACTGTATATACTTGCATAAAATCAAACTAAAATTTGATTCGGTTTCGCTCGCGGTAGTAAGATTTTTGGTGAGAAGTGTTCATCCGTTCAAGTCCAGTTCTTTCCGGACTCTAATAAGCTGAGGGGCCTCAGAGTCGCTTCAGGTCCTCAAAATGTTTACGTAGGCATTCTCACTGTTTTTGCACTCATACTCTTTTACATTTTCATTAACAATAGTCAAAAAACAATCCAACTATCTTCAAATGGAAGCAGCACGCATGTGACACCGTGAGACTGCTTACCCAGCTCCATCCACGTAATGAAACCGTATGAATATTTCAACACCTCACATTATTCAATTTTATTTATTTTCTATATTCATCTTTTATTGTTTAGCGCTGCACTTTTGATTTATTCATAATATGACTATTGTGAAGTTGATAGTCAGATCAGAACAGAGTATGGAATATTATAATTATTATGTTACCATTATTTTATTGTGTCACTGTTCCCTTGGCTGAAGCTCGCCGGCCAAACTTTGACCCAAAAACGGTTGCCGAGGCTTCGGGAAATTAAATTAAAATTAAAATTAATAAAATTTATAACATATTTCAAATTGAATAAAATATATATAATACATATATTTTATTCAGTTTAAATTTAATACTCAATGTATTTCAAATTGAAAAGGGTATTATTGAAAAGGATAGTAAAACGATGATACGAAATGTTATATGAATTTTTTTATTAAGGAAAATACAAAAATTTATAAAAAAACTACGAAATTAAATAATCTATATAATGCATTAGCAGGTCTATGATTGTTTTTTCATAATATTATTTGTAGTTGCAATCTTTCATAACCGAGGAGGTTATATGAGTTATCAAGAAAGCTTGATTGTGCTCCTTATTCCAAATGGGAAAAATGATAATATTCGGTTAAAAAGTTGACGATACGCTGCCTTATAGATTTAAATTTTCAATGGAATTTTCATTTTATGGCACTGATCATGAAAACAGAACAGGGTATGGAATCTAAGACTGACATATCTCGTAATGAGC